TTTTTTTTTTTATTTTTTTTGTTTTTTTTGATTCTTTTTACTTTTTTTGCTGTTTTCTTTTTTAAAATTTTTTTACAATTTTTCCAGTTCGAAATTGACTTACCCGTTTGGAGTACTTCGCTGGACCGAGGATGGAGATTGAAGCAGGCAGCAGCAGGTCGGCTACGTGAGGAAGGTCCGATAGAATCGTTGGCCTGAAATAAAAATTTACTCATTAAAAAAAAAATTATGTGATCAATTTTATTTTTTTTAGTGACATCCGAGCTTTCAAATTTCATTTTTTGCTAATACTGCTACCATTTTTGAATTATTAAATGAAATGTTTTTTTAATTCATCATTTAATAGATTTATTCGCTGATTGTCTTGCAATGGTAACAATATCGATAGTTCATGTGGAGAGAGAATGGACAGAAAATCGATGATTGTAAACAAAATTTTATTTTCTGTTTGACGTTCTCAAAGTTTGGTGAAAAATTTTTAGTACGTATTACTATTTTGGTCACAAAATTGAAGGATGATTAATTAAATGAAAAATAATTCAATTATTGATTGCTCATTGCTTACATTTCAGATATCATCTGACCTTTGTTACGATATCAACGGATTCTAAAGTTATTCGAAATTTGGCAAATTTCATTTTGTTCTTTTTGCAGAAAACAGGCTATGAAACATTTTTAATTATAGATGTGAAGTTTTGTCATTAACATCAGCTCATGCTGAATGGCTCAACTAAATGTTGTTATACTAATTATTTTAAGTATAAATTAGTTGTCTATCACTGATAGATCTCGGGTTGCTCTCATCGATCTCGGGCTGTTCTCATTGATTATTTGGACGATGCGTTGATAGTACCATTAAATGTGTGATATGCTTCCTTAACAGAAGCATTTAGTGAATGTTTAGCAGTTATCGCGCAAGATCAAAGAGAATCTTCAATTAGAAATAAAAACGTGCAATAGCTTTAAATGAATTTTGAGCAATATTTCAAGCTAATTTGCTAATACTTTTGTTTTAATACGTGAAATCTCAAAGCAAATTAACGATTCGTATTATTTATTGAAGGCTTTAAAAAACTTGCCTTTTTGTTTACGTTACAATTTAGCTACAATTTTCTTGATTTAATTGATGTTTCCGAATTCATTTCAAAAACTTTGCAACATTATCAATTGTAGAGTTTTAGCAAATGAGAATATTTATATGTTAGGTATCTAATTCAGCGACTAATGTCACTAATGATTTAATTAATTTGAGCATTTAAATTTGTGTGCTTAAAGACTTTAAAATAAGTCTTATTGATAATAAGTGCTATCAGAGGTTCTTTGAACTGATATTTGCTATCCTTTCAGCGAATTAATAAATTAATGTTTCTGATTGCATTTCGGTAAAAATTTTCACATTTTTTACATTTTCCACGTATATTTTCGAAATTTAACAAATAATTCGTGCTTTTCTAGAATTGAAAGCATAAAAATTTCAATGCACTTTTTTTCATTTATAATAAAATTGTAAAAATTTCTATCAATTAAGATTTATTTTGTAACTACAAGTCATTAAATGCTTTAATAGCATTTGATAATGATTTATTCCGTTTTCTATCATCACGATTGGATGATGATTTCGACAAACCATGCAGTTGCACTTCTCCGTTACTGAAACCGATTGCCTGAAAATAGCCTAAAGTAAAGTAATATAGTTTTTTTTTTTTATGTTTGAAATATTTGCTCATGATAAATGTTGATAGTTAATAATTTTTTAGGGTGATAGCGATAAAACTTAATGACAAACCAAAAGATTTATGCATGGATTTGTTGAGGCCACAACATACTGCCATAATTCAGCTGTGGTCACTTCGCAGTCATCTTTCAAATTCAGGTCATCTACGAATTCCGGTTTCCTACTTTTGGCTAAATCCCACGTCAGCAACAATCCATGACTGTGAATCGCATAGAGAACAGTAGGATTACTGAAAGAATTAAGAATTTTTAACATCAGTATTGATAGATGAGAAATAGTGCTCTTGAAATTCAAAACTTATATAGTAAAAAAAAAAAATTTAAATTTCAATTTCAACGATTCATTTTTTAATTAAATTAAAAAATTCATGCTCGGTTCACATATTTTTAGTTACAATCGACAGGAATAGTAATGGTTTCATCTTATGATGATGATAGAATGAAAAAATTAAACAGACGTTGATGAGAAAAATACTCGCAACAACGGTTTCCGGTTTCGTTCCGGAGGTTCCAAAGTTAGAATTGGTTGCGCATTGGAAATTTCACATAATGAAATGTGTCCGCTCGAAAATCCGATCTAACAGCAAACAGAAAAAAACATTTTATCATTAAGTTGGCTGACGTGGATGACATTGAAAATTCAAATCAGGTAAGAAAATAAATTGTTAAAAAGGAATTTAAAAATTAAAAGCACATTCGATATTAATAATAAAAATTTTCAGAAATAAAATACCGAAAAAAATGTGGATTCCGACGAAAAGCTAATAAATACCACTTCTGTTGCCATTTCTAAAAATGATCTTCAATTTAACAATGAGAAACAAATAGCAGTAAATAAACATTTTCACATAAACTTTTTTGAAAATTATACATAAATATGAAAAAATTTTGATTAGTTCAAAAAAAATTTTCCGGAAATTGTAAAATTTCATTAATGAAGCGAGCTGTTTTAATATAAGTAGCAAAATTAAAAACTGAAATTTCAAATGGAAATTTAAAAGGAACAGAAAATTCTCAGTAACCGAAATCATTTCGATACATCCTTGGACCAATAAATTTGATTGCTTTGATTGAAACAAAACTGGTAACGATACCACGATTGGTACCAAGCAGAAATTGTGCCCGATTGGTTGGAACCATGGTCATACAGTTTACGGTTGTCTTTTGCGATAAATTTAAGTTACTTAAAAAAAAAAAAGAAAAAAAAAACTAAATTTAAAGGATCTTCAAAAAAGCTATAAAAAAATTGCTTCTCGTTATTAATATATTTTTTTTGGATCGTAAATATAAAAAAAAAAAAAAAAATATGTCGTATATTTAAGTATTTGGATATGTGTTGAATAAAATACTCCTGTACATGATTTTTTTCTAACAGTATTTTACATTTTTTAAACGCCAAAAATCTTTATCTTTTTCCTTTCTTTTTTCTTCCTATCACTCTTGTTTATTAGCTTCTCCGCTAATCAAACCATTGAAATTCGAAATATTTCAAATTTAAATAAAAAAAAACAACTCTTAGTTTTATGGAAAAAAAAAACAAAAAAAAAAAAAAACTGCATGCAAAAATAACCTAAAGAGAATACTATCAAGTCGTATCACTGATGTTTGTATCATTTTCAGTTTTGCTCCTGGTCGTTGGCCAAGATCATGATCATTTATTCGGATTGATTGTTCTTCAGTAATTACTGTCCATACAATAACAATACCATATTCGTCTACACTAACAAGCTGATATGTTTCTGAACTGAAATTTTAAAAGTATACTACATTTTAGTGCA